TATAATAAACCAACACAATTACATATTTTGCTTGTTATATCATTCATTTATAATTGTTTCTATGGGTCCAGTACATCAACCAACAGCGACGGATTCAGGATATTAAGTGAGATAGGACGATTGTTAACCATCAACGGCAGTAGTAGTGAGATTGTTTATTAATATTTAAATAAATAATATTAAAAAAAATTCAATCAATATATAAATTCACTAAAACGTAAAAGTCATATACATTTAAAAAATATAATCTAATACAACCCAAAATAATAAGAAATTCATCGAATTTTTCTAAACGGACATGGCTACGTAGGCCCTGTCAGTCTAACGAACGAGCCCGTGATTGAACATGAATATTACAAAAGTTTATTTCATCCCCCGCGCCCCCCACTGGGGGCCCCCTCGAATAATGCAGAAATTTTCTATCATATAAAATATAAGTTAGATTTTCAACCATTTGTTTCAAGATGCCCATTATTTTACTATTTTAATGGTCAAGTCATATTCAACCTCATATTGCACAGAAGGACCATTAATACAATTTGTAGCCTCGACTATTACTCACAACTATTCCTTGCAAGTGAAAGGAATGTAGCAGAAAAACTAAATAAATCGAATTTTTCATAATTTTGTCTAATATAATCGAATTTAACTTATCAAATAACCCCAAATGTTCTCTTAGCCATGTGAATTTCCATGATGAATATAATGTAAAGTTTACATATTGTTGTTCGACGCTTTTCGCCTTCTCTAAGCACAAGAAGTCGTAGAAAAAGTGTCATAAGCCCCAAGCGACCTCGCTGGCCCTAAGTAAGAATGTTAATTCTTGCTTCAAGTTTGATTTTGAATTCGGATGGTGATAAAATCATTTCCAGTGTCAGTCAAATTCTGATCATTTCCATTTTGTGGAAAGTAGGGAACTAATTAGTAATAAACTTATTTCAGATTGGTCCACAATTAGTAACAGTGAAATTTGCACCATTAATCTGCACCATATTATTATAATGGCAAGTTGATCTACAACATTTAAAATAGTAAGTTAGTACTTAATATTTCATTATAAATATACAATAAGTTCCCTATGAACAAAATTATTCAAACGGGTCTTAAATTATTACATAGTTGTCGTATGTCCAGTTTTATGAAGCTATGTTTTACTTCACCACATAGACAAGTGTCAAGCCTTGAAGAGACACATATTTTCATGAATATCATGTGACGATTTTAACGAATACTTAAATGATTTCAATAGTTAAGGACAAAATTTTGAAGTTCAATCCAATGGATTTAATCATAAAAATTAGTTTTAATCTTCATTGAACTGAGTGATGTAGAACCTCGAAAACAAAGGTATCATTATATTAAAAAGTAAAAGAAAAGGAAGAGGACGAAGGTGTTGCCTTCAATAAATTGTTGTCAAACTTTGTACAAAGATGGAAGAAATGACATACAAGTATAGGTGATAGAAATGACTATTAATGAGAGGCCCACATTTTGCTTCATCATTCTCATTCTCATTCTCTTACAAAAAAAAAAGCCCATTAATAAGTCCAAAAGAAAGGGATTACAATTCAAAATGAGTAATGCTATTACTGGGGTTAATGTGACATTAAATGAGATATATAATTAAATGAATTACTTAATTTTACTTTTTATTTAGTATATCACAGGTATTAAAACATCGGTTTAAGTGGTACTAACGTGATCGATCTTATATGGATGGTGTAATGTGAATGCAGAATGTGCCGAAAGTGGGAGATAGCAAAAGGGCGATGGATGAGTACACGTCGGAGATATTCATGGGCTGGACGAATAACAGGTGCGAGGACTCTCTTCTTGCTGCTCCAATCATCTTGGATATTGTCCCCCTCGCTAAACTCAGCACTCGTGAAATGTCGAGACACTCAAGATTAACCAACATTCATAGAAACCGAACCAAGAAATGCAGAAAATAAAAGTGCAAAAATAATGAACACGATTATTTTTTCGGCCGAAGCCCCAGAGGTTCAGCACAAGTGCCTAATCCCCTATTGAGCATCCACTATCAACGGATTCAGCTCGATTGCACTATAAGGCACCCAAAATCAGGCAGTAAGTATACAATGTTTCCAGAATATTACAATATACAAGTCACAAGGACTTATCTCATAAAGATTCACCAAGGCAGACCACGGTTCACGAAGAAACCACGAACAGATCAGTCAGACACTTAAGTCACAGGAACTGCCATCCAAGAATCACATGACTTCACAAGTCATTATAAAATATGTAAGCTATTACACACAGGAAATACAAGAAATCACCAAGATTTCATCAAACCCGACTGCACATCACATGAAACCACTCAGGTTTCCATAAACTCAACACGACAGTTCAGCAGCTTAGAGATCTATAACATATTATGGATTAACTCAAGAAAGAGTTCCGAAAATCACTCAAGAACAGAGCCAAAATTAGAGATTCGTCGAGAGAGAAAGAGAAAGAGAGGCGACTCAAAAAACCCTCGAACTCGAGAAGCCGAATGGAGTAAAATGAAAAACCAACAGCCACCCAAACCATTTAGGGTTAAATACATAGAATGATCTAGATTCAGATCCAACGACCAAGAGATCAGCACGTGTCACAATCCAGTTAACTCCTTCCATTAGTAAAGTGTCACTTTACAAAACACGCTTATAGTTAAAATTGTGGAAGCACAATTTAAATCAAAGTGATCAACAGTTCGACTCCCAACAACTCGAATACAGCATAAAGCTGAAGCAAAGGTTTGCTTGCAAACTGGTCCATTCTATAGCTGTTTTAAGTGGCTTTCGATTTAAATCAATTATACTGATTGTTGAACATATTTGCAGGGCAAGTTTCACTATTTCCACTCTATTGCTACCATTCTCAGCTACCTCACCAAAGCCCCACTTGTAAATTTTTATTTTCGTTCTAAAGGCTCAAAATGATGTCACATTATTTGCCTTTAGTCTGAATTTTTAGATGTTCAAGGGCTTGTTTGATAAACTAGGTTAGACGTCACTGAATAGTGTTATTCCACTCAATATAATGCATAAACTTTTTAAAGATTCAGATATTGAGAACTTTTTGAGAGTGTTATTTCAGTTTGATGGGTCACGGGAAACAAATAATTAAAATGTGGCCTTTTATCATAAATGAATTCATTATTGGTAGTATTATCGATCAGAAAACATGCGGTCCATTGTCACAAAGAATTGGTACATGCTACTTCGAGAATTCATTTAATTTTTTTGTACTTGAAAACACAAGATGTGCCAGGACACACTAGTTTGGATGGTGAATACAGGACATGAATCGAGGGATATGTACAAGACATGTTTGATATATTGAATTAGATAAGATTATAGAATGAGATATTATGTGTACAGAATTTTCCCCTACGGAAGAATCCCAAATACTCACATGGGGAGTGGGCTCCATGTGAGTAAAATAATCCAAAAAATTAATAACCAATTCATCCCATGTTATGTGTATTCTGTAAGGTATCTGTAAAAAATTGATCTATACGTGTAGTAGAACTCTTACAAAATAGATGCATGTGAGTCTGATTGTTATGTGCCCTTCGATTAATGTCCGTATTGGACTGGACGGGAAAAAACAGGTACCACCAGGCACTCCAGTAGTGAAGATTATGAAGGCATAACATGATTTTCCTTTCCTTTGCCTTTTTTCCTCTTCTATTAATTAGTACAAAAAATATATCGATATTTTGGGGTGTAATACTAATGCTGCGTACCTAATTAAATACTATGGGTTCGTTACTTATTGCAGTGTTATTTATTTATTATGGAGGATTTTGTTTGTTGTTGAACAAAGGGTCTGTTTGACAGAGATTTTGCATATCGTAGAACTTCCTAAAGAATTACTTCATAACTCATTGGCGCCAAAATGACACGTTACAAGTATTTTACAGCACAAAGCATCTATTTTAACCATTTTAGTTTGTAAGCCACAATTAAGTGACAAAATAACAATGTCTTGAATAAATTATGAAAAGAAAGCTAAAGACACATAACAGCACGTTCAGAAACAATTAACAACTCAAATATACTGTCCGTCAATAAGGCATTATAACATATCAGATTCTATGTAGGCGCAGAAGTCGACAGTCAATTATTTCAATCTTCAGCTTCCTGGTATTTCTGGAGTATCTGGGGGCAGCTAGCCAAAGGCACATTCTGGGAGAATCCCATGGCATTGACAAAACGAGCGTCGGAAACCATGCCATTGTTGCGGGTGAGGATGACTCTGGCTTTGTCCCTGCCTGAGTTAGGAGTGCTGCATTCGGGATCTGAACTCTTGACCAAAACTGCATCACATGCATCATCTCCATGGTCACTCTGTACCAGGATGTTGTATGTTCCAGTTGAGTCGGTCACACCCTCAACCTCATATGTAACTCGTGAGGTGTCCCTGTCTTTGCACACAATTTTAACGAGAGAACCTGGCAAGTACAAGCATCATACAATGATGATTATTAGAATTATGTTTAAAATATAAGAGGATAAAAAACCACGGGACCATACTTTACCCAAAATACTCCACTATCAATCAACAATCGCAATACAAGGATTCAGCTAGCAGAAATTAGGGACAGCAATAGAAACAATCTCAAGAAGAAAGTTTTTGGCAAACAACACAAGTTTATCTAGAAAATAGGAAACATCTCACCAAATCAAGACATTGTTCGTAAGAACAGTACACACAATAGAAAGCTTGGATCTTCATCCAAACCGAACAGATTGAAGAACAATGTGCCCAAACCTACTATCCAAACTTAAATTCAGTAGCAGCAGGGATAGCTGAGATATTACAGTTCATTGAAAGCTGCACAGTAGCCTCCAGTTTAGTAATTTTTGGGTCTTCGTACTACTAATTTTTTGTTTGACCTCCAATCCTACCACAAGGAGAGAAGGCACTCAAGTCATTAGCCAAGATAATGACTAGAAAATCCATGTGAAAGTGTTTTCAAAAACCTCAAAATACGTTTCTTTTAGTGGAAAAATGTTTTTTAGTGGTTGTTCATGTGACAGCCTCTCATTGGCCATGTTCCTTTCACTTGGACTTGTGTTTGTTTGGATTATTGTGGACCGTTGATTAAGATTGAAAAGTTGAGATTTAGATCCCTTTTCTCTAATAATTGGATTGTTTATCCCAATGTACGATTTTAATCACCAAATAATCGAACCACAGCAGTAATAAACGACGCAGAAAATTAAAGAACACAGTAATTGTTCATCCAGTTCGGCCAAGCCTAATCTGGGGGACTCAAAGACAAAAAATTGAGCCCATTATTATGCAAGAACCACCCAAGAAAGAGCCCGAGTTTGGGTACAAAATTCAGATTACAACCAAGAATATCTACAGATCATCGGCCTTTCAAAGACCTCACAAAACAGCACCTAACCGACCCTGACTTGGACTCAAGAATAGTATCTATTTACAGTTTAAAATCTGACTATACAAGAGACCAAAAATACCCACTGTCGGAAACACACAAACTACCGGCAGCTTACTGTAAATACACCAGATCACCGACCACAAAGTAAAGGCCTCCCTACAGAAATAATACCGGACAAGGAATAAAGAATGAATCTGAAGAAATCAAGGTTCCATGTGACTAGAATCGCCAGAGAGAGAGTAGGAGAGAAAATCTGTCAATATGACGAATGAAGTGAAAAGTCTCTCTCTCAGCCAGGCCATCCCAATTATTAGAAAAAGGGGATCTAAATCTCAACCTTCCAATCTTAATCAGCAGCCCACAATAATCCAAACAAACACAAGTTCAAGTGAAATGGATATGGCCAATGAGAGGCTGCCATATAGAAAGCCACTAAAAAACGTTTTTCCATTTAAAGAAACGTATTTAGAAGTTTTTTAAAACACTTTCACAATCTGTTTATTATGACTTTAAAAAGTGCCTAGCCTATTCTTTGCTTTGTTAAAGGCAAGAGAAAGTATTTGGTTTTGAGAGAATGTTAGGCCTTGCTTAAAAGCCAAAACAAAACAGCTTCTCGCAATCTTATTCGAAAAATTCGACTCATCATACTACTGATAAAAACCCATTATTTTGGCTTTTAAGCCAAGCCAAACATACTCTTGGTCAAACGCATGGAAGACGTTACTAAGATCAGCTAAGATCAAGACAATAAGATGATTTTTTGCTAAGGTTGGAGAATTATTATGATGATGTTTTGTTATGTTGAATGCCATTAAAAGTAATTTTTTGATATGTAACTTATACTTTTCAAAAGTGTTGCTTGTAAGTAACTTTTAAGCTTTAGCCAAATATCTTGTTCTCATTTAGTTGACTGAAGCTCATTCTGTGATGTTCAAAAGCGATTTTTTCTTAGCAAAAATCCCCATAAAAAGAGCATCTTCAATAAGTTGCGCCAACTTGGTGTAACTTTATACCAAATTAGTGCAATTTTCAAACCAATTTGAGGTAACCTTGCCAATGGTTACACAAATGAATAGTATTTCCTTATTATTTATTTCTCAACGATTAATTTATTTTAAAAATTATTCTATTGTAGACTATATTATATCTAAAATCTTTAAATTATATTATAACTGTTGAATTATTTAGCACCTGTTTAGCAGCAATTCTTCAACAATTTTAATCAATTTTTTGACCATTGGCATTTGACTATTCTTGAAGGGCGAATTTAGCAATGCACAATAAAGACAATAATGGCTACAATAGTGCCTGAGAATTGTCAAATGTCAACGGTAAAAAAAATGATTAAAATTGTTTAAGAATGACTTCTAGACATGGGCTTGATGAGCAATTTTAGCCCTTGTTTGTTTCCCATTATTTGGTCATTAAAATGAAAAATATGACCGTTATTCATCACATCAAGCCACCATATTTTAATTTCTATATCTTATGTGAGGCTCGTAACGACTATATTTTTCATTCTCATTTTTATATTAATGGGAAACAAACAGGGCATTAACCTATTGTATCAATACTTATTACTTGATTAGAATTTAAAAATAAATATTAAATAAAAATAATGATCACAATAAAACAAATATAAAACAATTTAAATCAATTAATTTTAAAAGAAAAAAAAAGATATAGGAGAAAGTGATTTGCTAGAGCGACTCTAGGGGCACATGTAGTGCTCCCTATTGACTGGAAGTCTATGCGAATAGACTCCCAACCAATAGGAGGCGCCACATACGCCCCCGTTCGTCCAGCCTTAGACGAATAGCAAAATCTTAGGAGAAAAAACAATTCGTTGTAATAAAAAATGAAGGGCAAAATGGAAATAATGAATTACACCAAATTTCACACCAGCATCTCTAATGAAGACCACAAAATGGTGCAAAAATGACCAAAATGGTGCCATACTACTCCAACTATGCACCAAAATGGTGCAAAGGATATGTTGCCCATTTTGCCCCTCATTTTGTTCCGCAACAAAATTTTCTTCCTTTTGTGTCCTTTTTTGTTAAACAACAAATTTCAATCCTTTATTTAATTGTATTATCATTATGAATATTAGTATTAGTATTATCATCTAGTTGATAGTCTATGCCCAAAATGGTACATCATTGTGCAAATGATTCATGAACTACGCAGTCCCCAAAAGAAAAAAAAAATTATTTGCAAAGAAAACAAGAAGCATGTAAAAAATATGTTAAACGTGCTTTTAACGTTCTACAATCAAAGTTCACAATTGTAACAATACCAACACGTCTTTTTTAATTTATTAACGAACTCAATATTTTTCGTTAAATAAATATAATTATTTATCTCGTGATTTATATAGTAATAAAAAAGATAATTAAATAGATTTTTAGGTAAATAAATTGCTAACAAATAAAGAAAAATGATAAAACACTGTTCATTTGATATAAATTTTGATGTTTTGGTTGAAGATGATTTATGGTTTGATGCAATCTTAACCCCAATTTTTGATGTAATGGTTGGAAATGGCCTTACACCAAATTTAGTGTGCCATTAGAGTGAAATTTTACACCAAATGGATGTTTTTGCACCAATTTAGCGTACCATTGGAGGTGCTCTACACCAAATTTGGCAAAAAAATACTCCAATAATACACCAAATTCGATGTAAAACTTGACGTAATTTATTATTCCCCATTTTGCCCACCATTTTCTTTTACACAAAAATTTTGTTCCATCTATATTCTTATTTTTTATGTAAAATTTGGTGTCAAGAGCATCTCCAATGGTTACATCAAATTTGGTGCAACTTTTACACCAAATTTGAAGTAAATTTTGTTGCCACCAAATTTGGTGGCATCTCCAATGGTACACCAAACACCAATTTGGTGTAAAATTTCACCATGAAATTTGGTGTGATGAATAATGCTACACCAAATTTGATGTGTGACACCAATCATTTGGTGTTAAATTATTCATTATTCTCATTTGCCCTTCATTTTCTAGGGCAACTTTATATCTTATCTCAACAATATTTGACCTTATTGATCTGAAATTGAACTGCAACTTCACAACACCGTTCTTCCAACATGTACAGATGACTTCAAGATCCAGAAGCGATTCTGCCCATCCGAATATTAATTCATTGGCGGCGAGATCTTTCCAATTTCTTGTTGGATTTATATAGTATTGCTAAGAATACATGATGATTTTGTGTGCCATTAATTTCTATCTAGGACTAATTCTGCGGTTTCTGGTCGTTTAATTAAGTTAACCCAAGAGAGAATTGTGTCTTCCTCCCAACAAACACAAGCATTTCAAGAACTACTCAGCCCCCATGGTTACTTCGTCTACCCCAATTATAACTAAAGTCACAGCAAATTCTCCTCAAAACCGTACAAGATCATATTTTTTTAGCTCCAATGAAAATTTCTTTAACAAACTAACTAGATCAGCACCACATTGACTAGATCTGACCAACTACACACGAGAAAGCAAGATATACAAAATACTTCTAGCATTATTCAAAAGTTAGTTTTGGTGCGCGTGTGCGTGTGTGATAGAGATAGAGTTGGTGCGGTTACCAGGGAGGTACTTGGACGCAGTTGTCTCATAGCCGCAGCGGCAAGTGTCACAGTAGATTTTACCGGTTACAAGAAATGGGTTGGCCGCAAGCTGAGCAGTAGCGATTGCTGGGAGCAGGCAGAGAGCAAACAACAGTAGCAATTTAGCCATTTTTTTCCTTGTTTTCTGTAGAATATGTTATGTAATTTGGGCTCCAAGAACTGAAGAAGAAGTTAAGGGAAAGTGGTATAAATGGAGAATTTTTGCGTCGGTGGAGCAGTGTGTCCGTAGATAAGGGTGGGGTGTGTATGGGCTGGCACACGGCAAAGAGTCACATGGGGTGGCATCATGGAGTAGAATAAAGTGAAGAAAAAACCGCGTCTGGCGGCAATCTCCTTCATTAATTTCGGGCGGTGGGTTCCATCTGCCTCTCCTTGCTTACGCGGAGATCCGTGCATTTGGAATTAGCAAGAGTTAACTAAAAAAAAAATTAATAATAATAATAATAATAATAATAGAAAAATGAGTAAATAGAAAAAGGAGTTTCAAAAAGTATGATTGTCAAATAGAGATGGATTTGTTTTGCAAAATTTATAAATAGTCACATTTTATTCTATCCGCTTATCTATTGTTCATATTTTTATTTTTATTTTTTGGGTATCTATTTATAAATTCTTTTCAAATGAAGGATAAGTAATTAATATCAAATTTTCAAGTGTAAGATTTGATTATTATTTCTTAATGTAAAGTATCACCTTTCAAATAATCCATATCGGTCAAAAATATATGAAGGAAAAAAATGGGATGCAATCTATCCAATAAAAGAAAATTGACGTAAAAAAGAAAATAAGACCAATTCATGAGCCATCATATTCCATAAGCGTGGAACAAAATGACACAAAGCATTGCTAACATATACTAATTAACAAATATCACAAAGAACTGTCGGATTTGACACAAATTGAAAGTATGTCCTCAATTGTTGATGATACCAACTAATTCACGTTCAATAAGTTGCACGTACTATCCTCTTTACTAACGAACAATAGCCTCTCACTCAAAACCTCCCCTTCAATGTCCACCGTCGAGAAGTAATCAAGCCTAGTCATCGCACCCGCCACTATTCCCTCGTAATTATGCACCAACACTCATATCCTAACTTCATGTCTCAATTTCATATATGTCTACATAAATTAAAAAGAAAAACTGAATCGGCACAAATGGAATCAATTTAATTCAATCTATTGATGAAAAATAGTTTTGGAAAAGCACTAATGAATTATAAAGCAGAGCTCGTAAGAAGAAATTGTAAAACAATAATGCTAAAGTTCAAATATCACAAATCTTCCTCTCTCTCTCTCTTTTTTTTTTTTTTTTTCCTCCTTTCTTCTTTAACAAGCTAATTTTAGATTGATGACTTGTGATGATGTTTTTCATTTTTAATAATAATTAACTGGACCCCACAAATCTTCAATTATTTCTTCCCCCCTTCGTTCCCGCCTTGAAGCTCATGATACGAGGAATCTAATTATACATTTGATTTTCTCTTCACATTTCTTTATGGTTAATCGGTAGCGTAGAGATCAAAGTGTCCCATGCAATCAATCAAAGTAAAATATGTAATATTTTCTTTTCTTTTTCTTTTTTCTCTTTGTTACACCTCGTTTGGTATTCATTTTTTTCAAAATGCATTTCTCTCTCTCTTCTTTTCAACCAGACAATTTTTATTAAAATAATATTACACGTAAATCAAAAAAATTCCTTATTTTTCAACCACACATTTTTCATCAATTTAATATTTAAAAATATATTTTTACATAAAAATGTCTTCCAAACACCCCTTAATAAACGAGAAAAATATGGGCGGAAAGAATTTTTTTTTTTTTTTTAAACCTGTACGTACATTAACTTTAAGTAATGCATGTGCAAAACCTAACTTGGTGGATGAGAAATCACCAAATTGGGACAAAATTTAAGGCCAGCTCAGGCAAGATCCAAGAGTAGTGAACTTTCTTGTTTAACAAATACATTTTTGATTTGTGAATGTTAGCGTCTATTTAAATTGTGCTGCAAAAATTGGGTGAGTTATGAAATTACATCCATAGTTATATTAAAAGTTATTCATTGAATTAATGTGATTTTTAAATAATTTTATACTTGGTTTGCATTACTATTTCAAATCGTGAGGATTAATTGAGCTTGCAAATAATAGACTCTTTTCACCATGTATATTCATTCTTACAATGACATTGTTGATGGGTGGATTCAAAGAATGACGATAATTTTTTGAAATTTGCTTGCAGTTCTTTCTTGTGTCTACTTTATTCAATTTCAGTTTATAAAGTACTGTCATGCATGTCCGTTCAACAACTACCATATACTTATATTTAACCAAGTAACGTGCAACACATTTTTTCCTCACTATTCATATGTATAAGGGTTGATAGTTGAATAAAAAGCATTAGTTAAGGTCGAGATTCATAGTCAACCTCCCTCATCGTGAAGACAAGGAACTCAACACAACCCGTGTGACTTAGGTGTATTTAATTAGGACTTTTGAAGGTTTTGATGAACTTTTTTAAGTGATAACTTCTATGAATTTCGTTGATCTTTTTATAGATTTGTATATAATTAGTGAAAGTCTTTCGCAGACTCCTATAGACTTTCATTTTAAAGTTTTTACAAACTTTTGAAAACTTTCATTTGAAATATAATTCACATGAATCTGGTAAAATAATGTGAAATTCTCACATACGAAGTGTTAGCTCCCAAAATTCCTCTCTCCCATCCCCTCTTTATTCCCATATAATAAATAAAAAAATTTAAAAGAATAAAAATTTAAGACATTAATTAAATAAATAATGATCAAAATTATAAACAATAAATTTAATATTTAATATTATTAATATAATATACTTTTTTATAGCCCTTGTTTGAACCCCATTTTTTCACCAAAATACATTTTTCAACAGTGATTTGACAACATTTCAACCACACATTTTTCAATAAAATAATATTATACGCAAATCAAAAAAAATTCTTATTTTTTAACCACACATTTCCCATCAATACACTATTCAAAAATTCAGTTTCTCCCCTAAAATGGGGCTCAAACAAGGGCATAATAAATAAAAATCAATATATTTAGATTTAATAAAATTAAATAAAATTTTTATATAAAATTTTATAATTTAATAAAAAAATAAGTATTTTTCACAAAAAATGAATGAAAAAAGCAAAAATAAAAAAAGTTACAAAAACAAATTTTCCATAGAAAATAGAGATAAACAATAAGATAGAGAAAGATAAACGAAAATAAATATAGTCAACAGAAAAAATAAATTTTAATCATACCTCTAATATTAGTAGAAGGAAAAAGGAAAGAGAGATTGAAAATTTTTCGTAAAATTCTCCCAAAATCCTATGATTAATAAGAGACAAATTTTGAAATTTTATATCAGTACTTTCTACTTAAAAGTTAGTACTCCAAAAATTTTTATAAAGTCTCTAAACGTCATTAAAATTTAAATATCTCATGACTTATAAAGACTTCTAAAAAATTTTAATTAAATACAACATCACTTTTAGAGACTTCTTAAAAATTTATAAAAATCTCAATTGAGTACATCAATACTTTTAGAGAGCTTCAAAAGGTCTACATCGAATATTCATAAACTTTTTAAATTTCAAAAAGTCATTAAAAATCTCAATTAAATGCATTCCTTTATTTAGGTGTCATCAAGATCATCACATGGAGCTAACTACCTCAATAACCAAACGTAAATCGAAAATTTTTCCTTCTTTTTCAACCACTCTGATGCGAACCCCGTAGTAACATTGATTACGAAATCCACAACGAGATTGACGAACCTAAGAAAGCCAAATTAATCCAAAGTTTAGGATTAAACCAAAAGAAAGTCGAATCAAAAAACCTAACAAAAACGACGCTTGAAAGACCCCTTGATCACGCAATCCAATAAATAAATCCGGTTGTTTGAACGCCACAAGTTAATACTTGATAAGTTCGAAATTGTTCAATGAAGAACGATGAAGAGAAGACAATACGCCTCACTTTAATTCAATATTAATAATGTCAAAAAGTTTTTAACAATTGAATGGAAACTCTTATTTATACTAAACCTAAAAACTAGGTAAAAATCGTGTAAAAGTCGAGCATAATCTCCAAAATATGGAAAAGAATCAAAATCTAACAAAATATAGAAAATTGCCAAAATTGAAAAATTCGCCAAATTTTTTGCCTGTGCGGCCGCATGGTGTATTTCCATGCGGTCGCATGGCTCAACAAAAATCCCAATTTAAGTTTCGGTTTGCCACCATGCGGCCGCATGGTGTTTTTGCTGTGTGGTCGCACAGGCTTATTTTCAGCCTTCGGTTTCGTCGTTTGATAACAAATTGATCCAAGTTGATTCGGCCTTCGACCCGAACATGAAAGTTGCTCCATTTTGAGTCTCGAACATGGTTCCATCAATGTTTTCTTGAACGAGCAATCACATAGCTTGTTTCACTTGCTTTGCCCTTGATCACGTCATTGGTCCATCATCAACTATCAACGGGTCTCGTCTCGCACTTGCCTTCGTCAGGCTCGACTCCTGGATCATATCATCTCCTCCCTCTTCAAAAGGATTCGTCCTCGAATCTGAACCTGCATCAAACATAGAGAGATCAGATACATTAAAAGTAGCTGAAACATTGCACTCACCTGGAAGGTTCAACTTGTAAGCATTGTCGTTTATCTTTTCAATCACTTGAAATGGACCATCGCCCCTTGGTTGCAACTTGGACTTCCTTTGCTCCGAAAACCGCTCTTTCCTAAGGTGCACCTAAACCCAATCTCCTGGCTCGAATGTCACGCGCTTCCTACCTTTGTTCGCCTGCGACGCAACCAACTTACTTTTGTTTTCAATTTGCGCTTTTACCTTTTCATGGAGTGACTTAATCAATTCCGCCTTCTTTTTGCCATCTAAATTACCACGTTCATTCACAGGTAAAGAAATTAAATCCAAAGGAGTTAGTGGATTAAAATCATATACAATTTCAAATGGAGAATATGACGTAGTAGAGTGAACAACTTGATTGTTTGCAAATTCAACAAATGGTAAACACTCCTCCCAACTCTTCAAGTTTTTATTGATTACTGTGCGTAACAATTGTCTCATAGTCCTATTCACTACCTCGGACTGCCCATCCGTTTGTGGGTGACAAGTTGTGGAAAACAGTAACTTAGTGCCTAACTCACCCCACAAAACTCTCCAAAAGTGACTCAAAAATTTGACATCCCGATCCGACACTATACATC